ATTGCCTTTTTGGTTTTTTTTAGTAAATCTATGTTTTTGTTACAAACTCTATGTGTGGTTTTTCTTCCTGCAAAATATAACAGTTACGTTGATAACGTTATTTTTGTAAATTTATAAATACATACACATTGGTTTAACGTAAAACATTTCCACAAAAAATCCGAGACCAGATAAGTTTTAAAGTAAACTTGGGCTTGGGATTGAGCAATACCAGAATGAATATTAAGTTTTTAAATATAGTTTTTAACTTATGATACTAAGTATGATTACCATCATGCCTATCTGGAAAGATACTCTTTATAAATATTTTATGACCCCATTAATCATTATTCTAAGAGTAAATTAGGTTAATAGAACTTTGATCACTCTAATACAATACATAATACGTTATTTTTACTTCGTTGGTCTATAAAATAAATAGCTTCATCATTAAAGACAAATAAAGGATAACGTTCTGGTAGGTATTCCGGGGTATGCTAAATATGCATGTTATAACAGCTTTCATGAAAACTATTCATAAAGTGTTGTTTTGTCGGATTTTATACCCAAACACAACCCTTATTATATGGCACAAGTAAAAATCCCACAAGAATGTTATAAAATAAAAAAAATACCCTTAAATGTACAGGGTGTCCAACGAAGAGGTTTAATTGTTTGATTATATATTTCATGTGCCCACTTTTAGACCGAACATTTTGAAACTTACTACACAATTTATAAAGTATGTTTTAAAAATATTCTGGGAAAATGAAAGCTCCCTAACCACCACAGAAACAAAATGGTGGTATATTAAATGTTTTTTATCTAATTAAATTACATTAATTAATTTATTATTTATTAACTAGTTATGGACCACAGTTTGAATAATTTTGGACTCTACTCTTAGGTTTTTCACTATGCTGTCCTAATTTCCTGATGAAAAAGCCTCATTTCCCTAGAATGTGATTATACAAATATTTATAAAAACCAAAATACTATTTTAATGTTTTGAAAGTACCATATTTCAATATGACACCATTATGTTTTTACAAGAAGTAGGGGGCTGAAACTTTCCATAATATTTTAAAACGTAGTTTATAAATTGTGTAAAGTTTCAAAATATTCTGTGCATAAATGGGCAAGTTATACAAAAGCAAATACTAAAACCTCTTCGTGGGACACCCTGTATATGTAATGTGAATGATATTTTTAAAAGGCTATGTCAAACACACAGAGAGAAATAAGCACAAGTTTTTTAGGGTTACTCAAATGACCAATGGTAAAGAATAGTGTAAAATTAAACAAATCATAAAGGTGTTTTTATTCGTATATATTAGACAATAGAATACACTACGTCATAGTTTTCCGAGTATTTATTAGGTCACATTACATCCTTTCTAGAGAACACATTATTCATGCATCTGCGTATATTCCGTTATTCAAACAATCACAACATTATTCCACATAAATAGTCAGCAACTACTGTGCATTGAGCATTCAAACAACCCATGACTAGTTAACGACATACATTCCACAGTCCTTTGAATTGTACCACAATTTTATTTAATAGAATTTATAATAGGCTTCACCTAGTAATTGGAAAAGATTTTTGATCAAATTAAAATTTCTATATTTTTAACAATTATTTAAAATATGCAGTAAAAAGCAAATTTAAATTTTAACCAAGAAGTGTTTGAATAAATAAGAACTAAATAACTTCTTTATAAGCGCCGTACGTGTAAAATTACCTGAAAGCACAAAGATATGCCAAATAACAATTGGAATAATATATTTACACTTATACTGTTTACCCACAAGACAGTAATTAAGTATAAAAGATGATAATTGTTAACCAATTTCGATTAGACACTTCATCATTAGACTTAATAGGTGAATGGGCCTGATGATATTATTACAAGTGTTATTTGACGTATTTTTGTGCTTTCAATTAAGAATTTTTGATTGAAAGCGATCTTTTTCAATATATTTAGCCGTTTCTATATACAGTATTTTTAATGTACTGGTAGCCTACTTAATTGAATGTAAAAATAAAATATAATATTAAATATATAAGGCGTTGGCCTAGATCAAAAGTGGTTATTTTATATAAAAATAAATGTTTTTTACAAGTTTCTAAACAATCGATTTTTAATGTCATTAATAGATTGAAAGGTTTAATAAAGGACTCTACGCAAAAAAGCCTACATTGTTGAAAATGGATTTAAATATTAAACTTGCCTAGAGACCTGAGTAACTATCAGATTAAAAAGCTTTTAGCGGTATCGATTTCAAATCTGTATATAACATTGACATATACGATTTCATTGAACCACCATGTGAGTAGTTAAGAATACCCTTGCGTTTTAGTAGTTATTATTTTACAACATCGTTTGAAATGGCTCAAAAGCTGCGTTTTGAGTTAATAATCAATTAAATGTCACAAACAAAAAACTTATTATTTTCATTATGTATTAATTTTGTATTGGAATGATATATTGTACAAATTATTTGGCCTGAATCGTTCTAAAACAGCAATATAACCTTTGCTAACAATTCCATTGCTAAATTTATTTTTTGGCCTACCAGAACTTTCTCTAAATCATGGCTAAATTAAAAATATAATGAAGGACTAAAGTTGTGCAAAAAATAGCTTTTACAATTTCTTAATAAAACCTAGTGCTATGTTTTACCATACAAATAACAGAAAAACAGACGATTACAATTGGTGATAATACAAATTGTAAGAAGAAAACGAAAGATTAGTGAGCACATTCCAAATTTCAGTAAAACTCAAATTTCTTCACCAAACTTTTGAAGCACATAAAACTAAATCCACATTCCTCGAGAAATGTTATGTAACTTTAAAAAAATAATAATTAACCATTAAATTATTAAATATATTATGTATTTAAATTAAATATTTTTGTTCGTGGTCTATATGAAACCCCACCCGAGTGACTGTAATATTGTCAAAACTTGAGTTACAACCAGAATAACCATATTTTATTATGACCAACAACTGCCGTTAATTTTATAATCAGGCAGGACTAAAATTGTAAACAGAACAAAATAGAATAAAATAAAATTGAAAAAAGGTTATTTAAAGTGTGCTCCATTATATTTCTACAAGTATTGGATTTTTTTCATATTTGGAGGTTTTTTTTTTAAATATAAGGTTTAGTTTAAAAGATATAGATATTAATTTAAAATAACGATAAATAGTTTTCCATCACTGTTTTGTATCTTGTTTGTAAGAAGTTTATAACCGTATCAGCTTGTCTCTAAATTTAAAGTGAATAATGAAAACAAAATTTTTAAAAATTTACCCTTAATTTAAGCTACGTTTGGTTAAGTAAAAAGATATTTTGCACTCGTGTATTATTCATCACCTATCAATACATTGGAATGTAACAAAAAAAAATTATAATACATAAAGTTATAAAAAATAAAAATAAAATGAATGCTACGAAGCTAAACATTTTTTGTTTTCATCAATTATTTGGTATTTACTTGTAATTGAAAACAATGCTATTATTAAAAATAGCTTTAATGATGTTTGATCATCCAAAGAGCCAAGCAACAAAACCGGGGAATATTTTCATCCATCATATTTTGTGTAATGAGGTGGCAAGCCCATAAACCATTATCGGATGATTGTTCAGATATAGATCCCATTTAACAAACCTCACCATTAACTATTGGGCTCTCTGGCTTAATTTACAATTGTTTTGAATAAGCTAACTGAAACATATTTCGTTTTCAGGAATTGTTTAGATTAATAACAGTTTGCAGATATTTCGTTAAAAAACAATCTGTAAAAATACGGATGAATAAAAATAACTGTGAACCTTTTAGCGGAATATTGTTTAGTACACACTGGGATAGTAAAACCTTATAGTTTTTCCAGAGTGTAAGGTATTTCATAAAATAACTGCTACAAAAGATTAGTAAATGCTATCTACGTATTGATTTTGACGCGTTACTTATATTTGACATTCAATTACTTTACGTTGATCAGTATCAGTGTACGTATAGTTGGTATATCGTTCATTTTTCAATTTTTTTAGTTTTCACGTTAAGCGTAAAGCTAGTTGAAATTATTAATCGTCGTAATGCGTAAAAGAATGGTCAATTGGAGTGGTTAATATCTTTACCTACGACCGTTTCTTTAACTAGCCTTTTCAATACAGTTCTTAGAATTGAAAAGATTAACTTAACGGCATTTTTTTCTTACTTAACAGCAAAACTTTGAGCCAATGAGGTTAAAAGATTGAGATAAAAGAAGTTAAACTGTATGCTTCGAACATCTACTTCAGCTATTGAGGCCAATTTAGTTGGTTGTACAACGAGTGTTTGGATGAGTCGTTGCATCACAATCGGTGACAATGAGAGGTAGGGTAATAAAAGAAAACATAACCTATCTTAGATGTTATTAGTAGTGATTGTTAGTAATAAAAAAAAACTGTCGTAGGTAAAGTATTGTACGCAATTCGCATAATTAGTCTTTACGCAATCGTTGCGTAAACTACTAGCCTATATCGATATAAAATTAGCTTTCCGAAAACAAATCCATGAGGTTATTATTATCAATCTTCACACAGAAAACTAGGACTTGGGTCCTTATCAGCATATCAGCTACACAGAGGTAGCCTATATTTGGCAGATAATTATTTACTAGAATATGAAGTAAAGATGGTTATTACAGGTTGGAAACCAATGGTAAAGGATATATGAGGAGGTAGAATCATCGGATATTGTGGGTAGGTGGTTTGGTCAGTGTGAGTTCACTGTGGTTGTTGGTTGTTGTTGTTGACGTGTATTCGATGTTGCTTTGGTCCGTAAATCAGATAAAATTGGGTATCCGACGATTCGTGAAGTAAGGATATAAAAACTGGTGAAACATTAGGAGGTCCAGGTGCGGACTAGGCATTACATGACATGTTAATTATAGATTAAGGATCTACTTTAGAAGATCACGTAGAGGAAATACTTAAGGCTAAGCAGTTAGATGGTAATCTTACCTTTTGCTAGACGTCTTGAGGTTTCCCACTGTGAACGTGACGAGTGACGGGACAACAAAAGCAGAAGGCGCACAGTCGCCGTGGATTCTTAGTGGTGATTCTGTACAACGGGAGGGTTTCAGGGTCCTCCTCTTCAAAGCGGTGTGGTGGGCGAGCGGGCAGATAGTACGCGACACAGGAGACCCCCACGAGGAACAGGAAGAACATGAACACTATGTCGAACATCAGGAGCGAGTTGAGTAGCACCAACTGCATTGCTAACCCACACGCACATATGTGTGCATGCCACCACTCATCACTCACTCACGCATCACTAAACCACCTGCAACAGAGATAAGACAGATCATAGTATCAGCATCAGGTGGCCGTTCAAACCCCACCAGTGACCAATGGATTTGATACATGTGATAATGCGCAGGTCAAGCCTGAAGTAATGTGTAAAACAGTTCCGGGCTATAACTAGCATCCCAGAGGGTAAATGTGGGATGATAAAAAAAGAATCAGCTTTAGGTGTGGTTAAATATAACATCCCAGCTGCCAAGAGATTTCTAACTAAGTTCAATAATTACTAAAACACGTTATAAGCGATGTTGTGCTTCTATAAAGTGTATTAAATAACTAAATATAGTCTTTTCATATGTTGATGGAATATTTTAAAATAATATAACACGTTCTAAAACACTATATTTTCTAACAAATCAAACCACTATTCGGTGAACAGTCTGCTTGATTCAACATTTCATCTCTCAAACAAAGTAAAAAGTTTTCAAATCCATTCGTTTCTTTCGCTAGTCACAAACAAGTTTAGTTGATGATTGATTCAAGATAAGAAGTTCAGTGGACCGTTCCTCCTCAAACCCAACTTTAACTCTTGTTGTTCTTTGTTTTTACACACAGACATTATGGCAGCATACACGCTGAGCAGCATGGATCTTAAAACAATTATTTATCAAACATTTTTATTAATGTTACTAACCTGTAAGATACAAAAGTGTTGAGAGGATTAAAAACGTTGCATGAGTAGAGAAACACTACGAATTATCCATTTACACCTGCTATAGCCTACTCCTAGAAAAACGGAGGCCTAGGCTCAACACGATAATTTATAAAGACACACTCACACTAAGTATTTATTTTTAACCAGCAGAAATCCCGTCTTTTTTTTACAGGGTTGACGTATTTGTAACTTGCTTATCACAGTTGATACCTGTATTTCCAACGGGGAAAGGAGACGTTAGAGCAAAATGCTTCCTTACATTTACGGTATGAAATGGTTTCATATCTACAACTGACTAGATAACCCGTTGCTCGGAATCGAACAACACAGCAACTTTAACGTAAGGAGAAATCTTGGTTCTTTACATCCAAGGTATGAAATAGCTACACATTTGATTTTAGACTAACTTATTTTAGAAACTAAATTTAATGGTGTAGCTTAGATTTTTGAAGTAGGTAAATGAAGAAAACTTAGGCTATTAATCTCCGATTTAGAAATTCCACTGATTCACAAATGAAAATAATGTAACTAAATAGTTTAAATTTGTAGAGATACTCTTACTAGTAAATGTATCTAATTAAAACTTCTGTCTATTTTTGAAGTCAATAAGTAAAATAATCTTACGACATAGGATAGAGAAAACCACTTGTTCTGCCTTACGTTAATTAAACCTTATGCCTCTTCTTTATTAAGACACATTTAATCAATGCAAATCAAACATTAACCAATAATATTTGCCAACAGATGAGTACCATAATGGTAACTCTAATTTTAAGAGTGGCCAAAAATTTGTTTGTCAATTTATGTTGTAGGTAGCCATAAAGTTCATACCACTGTACCCAAACGTATAGAAAAACGTAAATTATCAAATAATCTGCGTTAAACAAATAATGTAACTTCCCTTCAATGAAGTTAACATTTTTTAAATCTTTTGTCTTCGAAAAGTAATTTTTTACGGATGAGCTTTTGTGTACCCAAACTATAATTTCATCTATATGGACCATGTAACCAATTATTAATTCCAAAATAAACATATTTGAATGAGTTGTTTTTACATTAAAAATATTTATTTCTCCCTTAGTTTTTGTTACTGAGATAGTTTATGTGGCATTTGATATGGTACCCACATAAGAAGTCTTATTCCTTATAATTGTTTTAAAAGTAAACGTATTGAACATAAATCTGTAATATTTGCATCAGTGCACTCTGGCGATGGCTAATATCAATTTGAAACGCATATTGTTTTACTAAGCCCATTAGGGATAAATAAACCCGTTAGGGCTAACTAAACCTGTGAGGTCTAAACTTAACCCGTCTGGTCTAACTAAACCCTTTAGGCCCAACTAAACCTATGAGGCCTAACTAAACCCGTTAGGCCTAACTAAACCCTTTAGGCCAAACTAAACCTGTGAGGCCTAACTTAAACACGTTAGCTCTAACTAAACCCGATAGGCCTAACAAAACCCGTTAGGTCTTACTAAGCCCATTAGGTCTAACTAAGCCCGTTATGTCTATTTAAACCCATTCGGTCTAACTATACCCATTGGGTCTGGCTAAACCCGTTAGGTCTAACTTAACCCTTTCGGTCTAACCCATGGGGTCTAAATAACGCAATTAAGTCTAACTAAGCCTGTGAGCTCAACTAATTCGGTTAGGTATATCTAAACCTATGATAGAAAAATTATCCATAGGCAAAATAATTCATCCGACTATTCAACAAAATAGTTGAATGAATCAAAGTTAGGTAATCTACTTATTTCAAAAAGATTAGCGGATTTTGGAAAAATATTTACCCTCAAAATAAAATACATTACTAAAATATCAAACAAACCTAAAACCCACTAGTAACCATTACAGCCCTAAAATTCGAACCGTAAACGAAATTATACAGTAATAATTTAAGCCTTCACAACGAGAGTAATAGATGTAGGGCTTAACTGCAATAATTAACACCTGCTAGCGAGCCAGACACGTACTAACTCATTGGCATTCAACCAGTTACTGTGGCTCTGTGTAAAGAGGTTAATTTAATCAAACACACCACATTCCAGTTTAGTGTTAATAATGCGTGGGTTGGTGCAAATAATTAATTTATGGAGCTATGCAATATTTCTATTAAAAAATTTAAGTCTATACTGTACCGAAACCGGTTCAACTAAAAGTGTTTTGTAAAAATAAAGCAATATTGTGGGTGGGGTTTACACATTTATTTAATGCTTAGTTTATTGTTGTAGTATTTATCTGTTAAACTGTATACTGAATTTCGTAGAAAAAAGCTTTAGCGAGACCCTTTTTACATACAAATAACGATGATAGGAGGAGATTCAATAATCAACTACTAACTACGGAATGAAACAATGATTTTACAAGTGAATAAAATAATCATAAATCCTACGAAAGGTTATCTGCTGGCAAACCCAGTTTATAATAACGTTTTACAAATTGATCAAGTATTGGTATCAAAAAAGATATACGTGCTTTTAACCAAACAAACCCTTGAAACAACAAAATATTTTCACACTGCTTCAGTGGCTTTAAGTTTTCCTTTTTTATTTCAGTAGAATATTCTAGTGTGTTGGAAAATAAATAAATCCTCCCCTATAATAAACTCTAACGGATGATGTCCTCTATTTGTTTTGGTTATGGACCTGCATCATAATAAATATCAACAGTCTTCGTGAACTGTATTTTTTACATTTATTCTGTATTGTATTGCATATTAAATGTTTTATAAATATTAAAAAAAAATTATTGATCGATGTACCTAAACGTGTATCTAAACTGTTTATGGTAATCACAAAATATAATCTGTGATTTTCGGCAAATTTCAATCCCGATTAAGTTGGTAAAAAAGTTAACCTGCAGTTAGAAGCAATATCACCAGCTTACAGATATCAATATGGGAGCCATATTAATGTTTCTAGAGAGCAATAAAAGTGATATAAGCTCCGTTGAAAGGCTGCTAGGCTTCGAATCATGTGAATCTTCGTGCTCAGGTTTTGTGAATTGAATCTATACATCGTTCAAATCGACAACGCGTTAAAAATATCGATGTAATTTGATTAATTTGTAACAATGAAATATTTCATGGGAAGTCAAACAATATTTTTCTGAAATATGACAAGCTGGGACGTGTTTTACGATAAAATCTTTTAACATATTTATATAACTTTTTAAATCTGTTTACTATATTATGTTTGATTTATAAAGCATTAAAAACCGATATCAAAAAATAACAACCAGTGGCTTAAAATGTAGTGTAAAATTTTAAAATGCTTTACAACAGAGTGAAACAATCAACATGTAAAGTTATCAAAGTTTTAAAATTAAAATGTTACGATAAAACTGACAACATATTTAATAACATAACATCTGATAACAAATGTAGTAATCGTATTTGTAACGTCCAACAAAGAAACGTACCATACTAAGATATCAATTAGCCCCAATTTCATTTTTAACCAACCGAACTAAATTTTTTATACTGTATACCGAAATATTTAATAATGCTGCAATGTGATTGTTAGAAACCCTAGGATATGGAATACTCGAATCACACTTTCATGGTAACGAAAAAGAATGTATTTTCTGTATAAAATATCTTTTTGTGTAAAAAAGAATAGTCTAAACGAAATTTATGTCGGTTCAGTTTACACCGCAACACCCAATTGTAATGAACACCTGTAGTGAATGTAGCAACTCAAAGTAAGTTAAAATAAACGGTATCAGTAATCTGACACATAATTTCTCCCATAAGCTTGTCAACAACCTTTATCATGGGTATGCGGTGGGAGTAACTATGATAATTTTGTAGGTAAAATCAAAAAAGTTGCAATAACTTTTGAACCGTAATCGTTACAGTAATGGGGGTTGCATTATTTTGTTTAGAATTATAAGGGCCATAACACATAAATTTTAATCAAAACAGTTTTTTCCCAAAATCAGATTTTTTTGTTATTTTATTGGATTTTCTATCGGAAAATTACATAAGTTACGGTCACTTTTAAACCGTAATTTTTACCATTTTTTTTTTTCAAAACCAAAAGGACTATAACATACTCAATTTTTATCAAAATCGTTTGGCCCGTTTATGATCAAATCCGATTTTTCAGTTTTTTATGGGTTTTTATGGGAAATCCCCGTTAAAAATCCAAATAAAAAAATAAATAATAAAACACTTGGAGATACCATAGATTAGTATATACGTACCAAATTTCATCAAAATCGGACTACAGTTTAAGTCTGTAGCTCTGTACACATCCACACACACAGACATCACTTCGAAAACCACTTTTCTTGGTTCAGGGGGACCCAAAATGGATATA